TATAGATATACATTGGACGATGTATTTGATTTTTTTGAATGGCTGTCAAAATAATAAACATATTCAGTTGACCAATGACAAATGTGGTTTATCTGAGCAGCTGGAAAATTACCAATTTTGAACAGGGCAAAAATGTCTCTTCTCACATCTTGATGGTTTCAATGAAACATAAACATGTGGTAATTTTAGAGGTAATAAATGGCAAGCATGGATATTTGGTAGCGGATATAAAAACTTTCCAGGGAAAATTAGCAAATTAGGTCTGTAATAATCTGTGAGTGAAGCTACTATGATGACTAACACATCATTGAAGAGAAAGGAAATAAGGTTTGACATACCCCTTTGTAAATATGATGTATTTTCAGCCAGTCTCTCATAGTGAGATATCTTTTGCCTATATAACGCAATAATAATATCATTATCATGCAGAAGAGTCTGCTACATTAATAGAGATAATTCATTCATTCATTCATTCATTCATTCATATTTTATCACAGTATTGTAGGCTAATGGCATTAAATAAACAAAAACTTCACACAAAAAAAATGATCATGCTATCTTAGTCAACATACAAAATAATATTGTCTCTTATTTCGAAACCATAGAATATATGCTTTGATACAGACAGAAGAACAAACAGATTATCAGAATTTAAAAGTGTAACAAATTTTATAAATGATGGAAATTGTTCTCTCAAATGTTTGTATAAGGGACATTCACAATAAGAATCAAATTCGTCTTCCACTTTCTTTAAACTAGAACTAGTTCATGAACTTAGGTGTCTTTCCATTCACTGTGAGATCTCATGTAATACGTGATACACGTAGGTGCAGATTGAACACCTGCCGCAAAAATCAAATGATTTGATCTTAATTTCTCATTTTTTATAGTTCAATGTCGAAAAACATATCTTTCAGAGATGAATATGAAGTTGAGATATCTTTACTTCATTAAAATTGACTATCATCAAATGTGTATAGCATCAAGTCTGGAGTAAGCCAAATGTGTATTAAAATCCCAAGTTGACAGCCAATTTGCATGCTGGTTTGCCAACTTGCTGCCCCAAAACTTCTGAAACTTACTGTAAGGAGATGAACTGTCCTAGATGAATCCAACGTCAAAAGCGTATACATGTTGCTAAATAATGACCTGACAGACTGATAAAGGTTTTTCAGTTTGTTGGGACTACACATGTATGACTATTTTCCGAGAATGGCAAGAAATTAAATACCTCATAAGATAAAACAGTTGTTTTGTATGATCCATCAAAGCAGTCCCTGTGACATAGTTGAAACCAAATAACTGTGACACTGTATCTTCAAATTTACTCGGGTCCGGATCAACTGCATTTAACACTCTACTCAATGTATCAGTTGCCAGGTAACCATGAGATGATGGTTGCCATGGTGATGATTCAGTCACTCTAGATTGGCAATGAAAGCAGACTCCATGCTGAGATAGCTCTACCTCTGTTGGAAAGATTACTAAGTGTTAAAGAAGGAGAATTATAATTTAAGGAGTGACCACCCAACCCAATAGCAATGCTGAGAATGTAAAAGAGCATACACTAGTTAACATCAGATGTACAAATCAGTTTCATTGAGTTTGAATTTCATCAAATTCCCCCCTATTTAAAAAAAAATAATGAGATGAGACACGTCCAAATTATAAATTCTGCAAATATGATAAATGATAAAATCTTACAATCAATATATGAATTCCCATTTCTGCATTGACATACAGAGGACTTATCATAAGAAGTTGCACCACAAAAAGCTTCTGCGCATCAGTGATGCATCACATCAGCTCAGAGAGCAAACTGTGTTGTTAATGTATGGGAAGGGCAGTAACAGAAGATGTTATGTGATTAGGTAGTTTGCAGATACCCCATTTGATATCCCCAAATTAGGACACAAAGCAACTTATGGTGATAAACTGACTGATCTATTTGTAGTTATTTACCACTGTGTTGATGTTGTTCCAGTCGCTGTCTTTTATTATCTGGTCCATCAATGGCATCTTCCTCAATGTCATTTGG